TAAAATCAGAACATTTAATTTTACTCAGAATTGAAAGCGATGTTGAAAACAGTACAATTAAAAGTGTGGGTTTGATTTACTGCTTAAAGGTTCAATATTGTAAGTTATATTAAAACACTTATTAAAATACTCGGTCTCTTCGTGCGTTCAAGGATTTGAGTTGACATTCTTCCTGAAAAGCTCCCCTACCTCCACGCTGCCCTCAGGGAAGCCGAACCTCTTCTGGACCACTGCGGTCAGCTCTCTGATCCGACGGCCCTTCTCTCCCAGAACATTCTGGGTCCTACACACGAAGACATTTGTGGTTACAGCCTCATCGACGGCGTCACCAGGTTCACCAGTGCACCCGACTCACAGTCTGTGTCATTACCATGAACGGATAATCACCTTGTAGCCAGGATGATGATCTCAGTCCTGGTCGGAGTCACACGCACCTCCACTCCGGAGTAACCATCCTCGGCGAGCTCGCGAGTCAGGAACTCGTTCAGCTCGGCCTTGAAGATACCGTCTGAGACGAACTGAGGACAGACACAGGGTCAGATCTGCTGTCAGAGAACAGTCACCTCAGCATTCACAGTGAGAACACACACAGATCTATGGTCGAGTTTCAATACAGTGCTGCTTATACACACACGTTTTAGTTACTACACAACCTTTACTATACAATTATCTATATAGAGATATCTATCTTTGTATATCTGTTACTTCACGTGTTTCCAGGATGTTCAGTGGTTTATTATCTTTGTGAAAACAGGAGCCACATGTCAGGTTTAATAGTCAATGAACTTCTAAACTCTCAGACTTGAACACGATGTTGTCACTGGTTTAAAATCCTGTTAAACCCTCAAACATCAGAATTAACTTGTGGATGTTTTAATGAATTATTATTAACTAGTTTATCCGCTGACCGGCCTGAGGCGAGGCAGGTGATCCGGAACATGAAGCTCCTGCTGGGTGTCCATGCCCTGGACCGAAGCTAACGCACGAGCTAACTCTCGTTATTATATAGTTGCTCGTGAAGACGAGCAGCGACTCGTCCCGGGTTAAAGTCCCTAACTCGGTTGAGTGTCTCCGGGGAGCTTCACCCGGGCCTCATGTCTGCGGACCCGGCTGAGGAGCGCTCCCGGGCCGCGGAGCAGCGAGCCATGCTAGCGCCTCGGAGGAGCATCTGGACTAATCCTCCGGGAGCCGGCGCTCCAGCGGCTCCGCTCACACCGGGACCGACACCGAACCACCGGACTCTAACACACACGACGCCATTTCCGCCCGAACACGTCGCCTGTGAGATTTAAACGCGATGAAGCAGCGCTAACCTTCCTCTTCTTGGAGATCTGCACCGCCATCTTCCAAAGGCCGTAGACAGGAAAGGACCGCCACCGGACACGGAAATGAATTTATAACAAAATGTCCGATTTCCGCCGACGTCACACTCAGGATGCTGCTGGGACTTGTAGTTTTTTAAAAAGAAATAAAAAATACTCGTCTTCAAGATGGAAAGTAAAAATAAAAAATAATCATGACTA